AAACAGCATCATACATATGAGCCCAGATAGTCTTGACCTCGAACCACAGCAGACTTGCATCACGAGATACACCAAATAAGAACACACCAAGAGTTCAAAGTTGACAATGGTGAAGTAGTCCCATCATCATCAACTACGAACCAGAGTTGATATCCTATTGGCGCTCGGCGCCCAGACTACATGTGGCAGGTCCTATCTAGCCTATACTACGAAGCAGAATGATGACATCAACAGCGTTCCCGAAGTACAAGCATATGGCAACCAATGTCGCTCGCTTCAGCACCAGGTATGTCTCTCGTAACACTCACAACCCCGATCCACACCGCACAGATGCCACTAGCACCCAAGGACCACCCTGCGCTTCACCTAGCATACAGCAGCGCAACTTGGCTATGGCTGCGTGCTCCCTCCTACTCGCCCGTGAGAGCGTGAGTGCCAGCCAGCCAGCGGATAGCGCAGCAACGCTCGCGCAGCATGCAGGCAACACCCGAATGCCGAAATGAGAGGCGGGCCCTTCCCTATATCGAAGTGGCCTGCCTGCGTCCAGTCCAGCAAGCTTCCAGTAGGACCCGGTAGCCTGAGGTCCAGTCACGAGGAAAACAGGCCTTGGGCCTGAAGTGGTTGCATGCGCCCAACTGCTTTCGGCCTGTGTTCGGCCTGGTACCTGAATCCAGCCCAGGGCCTGTACTTCGTACATTCACACAGGCGGCCCAGGGCCTGGGTTCACTCAACCAACTGGCGCTGCGAAACTGCCTGAATTTTCCCCAATGCGGGGTACCCAGAAAAACGAGGCCCGAAGGGCCTGTCGTGCCTGCCTTCACTTAGGGCGGCCGACCTTGCTGCAAATAGGGCCCCGTAGGGGCTGAGCGGGCGTAGCCTCGCATTAGTTGCTTCTGCTTTCACTTAGGCGGTTAGCTGTGACATTGTTGTTTTTGTGACATTTTCTATCCTAGGTTGCATCGCATGGACTCAACATGGAGCTTGCTGCGCATCCTAGACTACTCGGGTTTTCTTTTTCTTTGGTAGAGTTCCGCTACTTGGCGGAAGTGTACGCCCTTGGCCTGTTCTCACAGGCCTGTGTTGTATTCGGGGTAGTCCAGTCCAGGCCGGTACCTTTGGCAATACCAGCCAATCCAGTCCAGTCCAGTCAGTCCCCTGGGGTATAATCCAGCCAGAGTCTGTGTTTGGATCATTCTGCATTCGCACAGTTTGGAGTACCTGCGTTGGAGTCTCGTGTGGGAGCTGCGCTGTGCCATCTTGCTCCACTCTCATCCTCCATCCCCATCTGTATCCCAGGTGGAGCACCACACCTGGTGGGTCCGCCAAAGTAGGTCAAAGACTAACGATGTTGAGGAGGGGATTGCTGCAGGAGTTGGTGTTGCAGCCGGTGTCCGTACAATATCTCGAGCAACTGGTAGAGAGATGCAAAAAACCTCTACTCGCGTGCTGGATGATGATCCTAATGAGAATGATATCGGCAACACCTCAGATGAGATGTCCGGTAGCGACTATGCAGAGGAGACTCATATGAGGGTCAAGATGAGGCAGGCGATGACGACAACTCCAATGGCACCGGCAACATGGCGGACTAGTGGGATGTAGTGTTGTGGTCTCTGTCCATCTACGTGCATTCCTCTTTGTGGGTGTCTCGGGTGGGGGGCGGTGGAGTGTGGGTGTCTCAGGTGGGGGGCGGTGGAGTGTGGGGGACGTGTTCGGATTGAGGTTGATGCAATGTGCATTTGCGTGAGTGGTTGTGGATCATTGGTTGCTGCCATGACAACACAAAGAGAGAGAGAGAGAGAGAGAGAGAGAGAGAGAGAGAGAGAGAGAGAGGATGAGTTGCATCTCATTGTTGAAGTTCACAGTTGAAATCTATATGCTGCATCGGTTGTGCTTCCCTCTCATTTCTTTGTCGTGCTTGAAATCACAACAACAAGGCGCAACCGTGTTTAGTAAATGCGAATGTCGTTGTGCGTGGGTGTCTGTGTGTGTGTCTGTGTGTGTGTTTGTGTGTGTCTGTGCTGGTGTCTGTGTGTGTGTCTATGTGTTTCTGTATGTCCGCCCGTGAGTCAGTCAATCATATAGTCAGTTACTAAGTCATGCAATTAGTTAGTAAGTAAGACTATTATTGAATCGTAAGATGCTTGCACCCCACCCCCCCACACACCCCAAAGAGTGTTTCAACTTTTTTTGTTGTTTTTGCTCATAATAGCTCCAAACTTTTTCTGGGGGGTCCCCCGGCAGTGTGCAAACCTCCCCCATTCTCTTTGTTTTTTTTTTTTTTACAGTGGCAAAAAAACTGTTGTCCGATTTTTTGGACAACTCCCCCTCGACCGTCTCCCGATCGGACAACTGGTAAGGTAAGTAAATTATAATTTTCAGAAAAATAAATAAAGAAATAAATAAATAAAGGGAAAATTTTCGAAATGCCCCTGAAGTTTGCGTTTATTTGTGGCATGCCCCTCTAACGGCCGACTTACCTTGTCGTGCGCCTCTGACGACGAATGATGTTTCCAGAAAACCCCTGCCGTCGTTTGGGCCTGAAAAATGTTTCATATGCCCCTACCGGTACCAGTACCAAATTTTCAGTATGCCCCTACCGGATGGGCGTTGAGAACCAGCACAAAAGTTTCCCATATGCCCTTATTGGTACCGTCCATCTTTCCAGCGAGCCCCTGTGGCCGTTGTTGACACTCACAGTCTTTCCCCTGGCCCCTGGAGAGATGCTACCGGGGCATATCATAAATTTGGCGATGAGCATGGACGCACACACACACACACATGCACACGCACACACACACACACACACATACACACACACAACACACATATACACACACGCGCGCGCACACACACACCCTTCCACACACACACACATGCACACACACACACACACACACACACAAAACACACACACACACACAACACACACACACACACACACATACAGAAGCGCGCGCGTGCATGGGCGATGACACCAAGAAGACAGCTATGCTGATGGTTAGGAGGTCGACAATCGAGGAGGAGGAGAGGAAGGGATGACGAGGAGAAAGTTGGAGGAGGGAGGAACGAGGGAAGAGGAGGGAAGAGGAGGAACGAGGGAAGAGGAGGGAAGAGGAGGAACGAGGGAAGAGGAGGGAAGAGGAGGAACGAGGGAAGAGGAGGGAAGAGGAGTAACGAGGGAAGAGGAGGGAAGAGGAGGAACGAGGGAAGAGGATGGAAAGGAGTAGGGAGGACAAAGACTATGACGATGACGGAGCCGACGAGGATAGAGGATGGAGGCTGGAGGAGAAAAGAGGAGAGCGACGAGCATGGATGGAGGAGGAGGGAGGAGGGCGATAAGCATGGATGGAGGAGGGAGGAGGGCAATAAGCATGTATGGAGGAGGAGGG